CCTCAAATATCCTATATAGACATAGGTCAATATTTCCCACCCCCATAACTCGGGCAAAACTCAACCGATTTTCAAAAGGTTTGGCTTTTTGTTCATGGTTTTGCCAATTATGCATCCAAATCTGGCAACATTAGTTTTGGTCAAAATTCATGTCAAAATTCATGTCAAAATGATGCCCTCAAATATCCTATATAGACATAGGTCAATATTTCCCACCCCATAACTCGGTCAAAACTCAACCGATTTTCAAAAGGTTTGGCTTTTTGTTCATGGTTTGGCCTCTAGATCAATTCTGCATCCAAATCTGGCAACATTATTTTTGGTCGAAATTCATGTCAAAGTGTTGCCCTCAAATATCCTATATAGACATAGGTCAATATTTCCCACCCCCATAACTCGGGCAAAACTCAACCGATTTTCAAAAGGTTTGGGTTTTTGTTCATGGTTTGGCCTCTAGATCAATTCTGCATCAAAATCTGGCAACATTAGTTTTGGTCAAAATTCATGTCAAAATTCATGTCAAAATGATGCCCTCAAATATCCTATATAGACATAGGTCAATATTTCCCACCCCATAACTCGGTCAAAACTAAACCGATTTTCAAACGGTTTGGCTTTTTGTTCATGGTTTGGCCTCTAGATCAATTCTGCATCCAAATCTGGCAACATTATTTTTGGTCGAAATTCATGTCAAAGTGTTGCCCTCAAATATCCTATATAGACATAGGTCAATATTTCCCACCCCCATAACTCGGGCAAAACTCAACCGATTTTCAAAAGGTTTGGGTTTTTGTTCATGGTTTGGCCTCTAGATCAATTCTGCATTAAAATCTGGCAACATTAGTTTTGGTCAAAATTCATGTCAAAATGATGCCCTCAAATATCCTATATAGACATAGGTCAATATTTCCCACCCCCATAACTCGGTCAAAACTCAACCGATTTTCAAAAGGTTTGGCTTTTTGTTTACGGTTTGGCCTCTAGATCAATTCTGCATCCAAATCTGGCAACATTATTTTTGGTCAAAATTCATGTCAAAATGATGCCCTCAAATATCCAATATAGACATAAATCAATATTTCCCACCCCAATAACTCGGTCAAAACTCAACCGATTTTCAAAAAGTTTGGTTTTTTGTTCACGGTTTGGCCTCTAGATCAATTCTGCATCCAAATCTGGCAACATTATTTTTGGTCGAAATTCATGTCAAAATTCATGTCAAAATGATGCCCTCAAATATCCTATATAGACATAGGTCAATATTTCCCACCCCCATAACTCGGTCAAAACTCAACCGATTTTCAAAAGGTTTGGCTTTTTGTTTACGGTTTGGCCTCTAGATCAATTCTGCATCCAAATCTGGAAACATTAGTTTTGGTCAAAATTCATGTCAAAATGATGCCCTCAAATATCCTATATAGACATAGGTCAATATTTCCCACCCCCATAACTCGGTCAAAACTTAACCGATTTTCAAAAGGTTTGGCTTTTTGTTCATGGTTTGGCCTCTAGATCAATTCTGCATCCAAATCTGAAAACATTATTTTTGGTCAAAATTCATGTCAAAATTATACCCTCAAATATCCTATATAGACATAGTCAATATTTCCCACCCCCATAACTCGGTCAAAACTCAACCGATTTTGAAAAGGTTTGGCTTTTTGTTCATGGTTTGGCCTCTAGATCAATTCTGCATCCAAATCTGGCAACATTATTTTTGGTCGAAATTCATGTCAAAATTATACCCTCAAATATCCTATATAGACATAGGTCAAAACTTCCCACCCCCATAACTCGGTCAAAACTCAACCGATTTTCGAAAAGTTTGGGTTTTTGTTCACGGTTTGGCCTCTAGATCAATTCTGCATCCAAATCTGGCAACATTATTTTTGGTCAAAATTCATGTCAAAGTGTTGCCCTCAAATATCCTATATAGACATAGGTCAATATTTCCCACCCCATAACTCGGTCAAAACTCAACCGATTTTCAAACGGTTTGGCTTTTTGTTCATGGTTTGGCCTCTAGATCAATTCTGCATCCAAATCTGGCAACATTATTTTTGGTCGAAATTCATGTCAAAGTGTTGCCCTCAAATATCCTATATAGACATAGGTCAATATTTCCCACCCCCATAACTCGGGCAAAACTCAACCGATTTTCAAAAGGTTTGGCTTTTTGTTCATGGTTTTGCCAATTATGCATCCAAATCTGGCAACATTAGTTTTGGTCAAAATTCATGTCAAAATTCATGTCAAAATGATGCCCTCAAATATCCTATATAGACATAGGTCAATATTTCCCACCCCATAACTCGGTCAAAACTCAACCGATTTTCAAACGGTTTGGCTTTTTGTTCATGGTTTGGCCTCTAGATTAATTCTGCATCCAAATCTGGCAACATTATTTTTGGTCGAAATTCATGTCAAAGTGTTGCCCTCAAATATCCTATATAGACATAGGTCAATATTTCCCACCCCATAACTCGGTCAAAACTCAACCGATTTTCAAACGGTTTGGCTTTTTGTTCATGGTTTGGCCTCTAGATCAATTCTGCATCCAAATCTGGCAACATTATTTTTGGTCGAAATTCATGTCAAAGTGTTGCCCTCAAATATCCTATATAGACATAGGTCAATATTTCCCACCCCATAACTCGGTCAAAACTCAACCGATTTTCAAAAGGTTTGGCTTTTTGTTCATGGTTTGGCCTCTAGATCAATTCTGCATCCAAATCTGAAAACATTATTTTTGGTCAAAATTCATGTCAAAATTATACCCTCAAATATCCTATATAGACATAGGTCAATATTTCCCACCCCCATAACTCGGTCAAAACTCAACCGATTTTCAAAAGGTTTGGCTTTTTGTTCATGGTTTGGCCTCTAGATCAATTCTGCATCCAAATCTGAAAACATTATTTTTGGTCAAAATTCATGTCAAAATTATACCCTCAAATATCCTATATAGACATAGTCAATATTTCCCACCCCCATAACTCGGTCAAAACTCAACCGATTTTCAAAAGGTTTGGCTTTTTGTTCACGGTTTGGCCTCTAGATCAATTCTGCATCCAAATCTGGCAACATTAGTTTTGGTCAAAATTCATGTCAAAATTCATGTCAAAATGATGCCCTCAAATATCCTATATAGACATAGGTCAATATTTCCCACCCCCATAACTCGGTCAAAACTCAACCGATTTTCAAAAGGTTTGGCTTTTTGTTCATGGTTTGGCCTCTAGATCAATTCTGCATCCAAATCTGGCAACATTATTTTTGGTCAAAATGCATGTCAAAATGATGCCCTCAAATATCCTATATAGACATAGGTCAATATTTCCCACCCCCATAACTCGGTCAAAACTCAACCGATTTTCAAAAGGTTTGGCTTTTTGTTCACGGTTTGGCCTCTAGATCAATTCTGCATCTAAATCTGGCAACATTAGTTTTGGCCAAAATTCATGTCAAAATGATGCCCTCAAATATCCTATATAGACATAGGTCAATATTTCCCACCCCCATAACTCGGTCAAAACTCAACCGATTTTCAATTCTGCATCCAGATCTGGCAACATTATTTTTGGTCAAAATTCATGTCAAAATGATGCCTTCAAATATCTTATATAGACATAGTCAATATTTCCCACCCCCATAACTCGGTCAAAACTCAACCGATTTTCAAAAGGTTTGGCTCTTTGTTCATAGTTTGGCCTCTAGATCAATTCTGCATCCAAATCTGAAAACATTAGTTTTGGTCAAAATTCATGTCAAAATTATACCCTCAAATATCCTATATAGACATAGGTCAAAACTTCCCACCCCCATAACTCGGTCAAAACACAACCGATTTTCAAAAAGTTTGGTTTTTTGTTCACGGTTTGGCCTCTAGATCAATTCTGCATCCAAATCTGGCAACATTATTTTTGGTCAAAATTCATGTCAAAATGATGCCCTCAAATATCCAATATAGATATAAATCAATATTTCCCACCCCAATAACTCGGTCAAAACTCAACCGATTTTCAAAAAGTTTGGGTTTTTGTTCACGGTTTGGCCTCTAGATCAATTCTGCATCCAAATCTGGAAACATTAGTTTTGGTCAAAATTCATGTCAAAATGATGCCCTCAAATATCCTATATAGACAAAGGTCAATATTTCCCACCCCAATAACTCGGTCAAAACTCAACCGATTTTCAAAAAGTTTGGTTTTTTGTTCACTGGTTTGGCCTCTAGATCAATTCTGCATCCAAATCTGGAAACATTAGTTTTGGTCAAAATTCATGTCAAAATGATGCCCTCAAATATCCTATATAGACAAAGGTCAATATTTCCCACCCCCATAACTCGGTCAAAACTCAACCGATTTTGAAAAGGTTTGGCTTTTTGTTCATGGTTTGGCCTCTAGATCTTACATACACATAGGTCAAAAGTTTCCATCCCCATAACTCGGTCAAATCTTATCCTATGAAAATGATACCCTCAAATATCCTAAAGACTATATGTGAAAATGCTACCCTGAAACATCCTATATAAACCTTCTGAATCTGTTTATATCAAGGACAATAGAAATAGGCATGGCTCTTATATACCTTTATTATATATTTATATTGTCTTTAGTTTATACTATACGATATTCCGCATATCAAGGTTTGTATCTGAAGCCTGTAAAATGGGCTCTAAAATAATACTTATTGAAAATGAAGCTGAACCGATATTTTTTATATAATAGGAACGGACCCACCAAAAATCCACCTATTTTTCATAGATAATAAAAAACTAGTGTCAAATAATTATACTCCCGGCTTTCGTAAGCTTCTATATAAATTCCAGATGTTAGTAATCGATTTTTATCGATATGCATGCGAGTGAATTTTGGCAAAGAAACGTGGCCTACAAAGAGTATTCAGATAGACTCCAACTACGGCTTTGGCAGATTCCCAAAAATACCCTACAATAACTACACTTCAAATGGGGTGTTTTAGGCGACAAGCTCACTTACCACTGGCTCATGCGTTGCTTCAGTTTCTTCATCTTCTTCTTATAGCTGCGCGAGTGCTCGCGACTGCCAGTCAGGCCGCCCATGTCGGATAATGTTGAGGATAAATCGCAATCCTCGTTGGTGGTGCTGGTGGCATTCCCATTGACCAGGTCTGCGTCCTCGTCACCGCGCACATCGTCCTGCTGCCTGGTGCTGGGCATGGTCAGCTCCAGTGCACGCTGGCGTATGTGTTCGATGTTCTCCTCATGGCGACGCGCCGACTCCAGCTGCTTGTGCAGAATCTTGCGCTGCAGCTCCTCGGTGGTCTGCTGCTGTTGCACCTGGAGGGCGAGCAGGCGCTCCTCGCGATCGCGTGCCTTTTCGCGAGCGAGCGCCTGACGTTGTCGCTCCTTTTGCTCCTGCATTTTGCCAATGCGCTGCTCCTTCTCCAGCCGCGTCTCGTTCATTTTCTCCAGCTTAAGCAGACGTTCCTTTTCGAGCGCCTGGCGACGCCGCTCCACAGCCGCCTCCTTGGCGGCCTTCTCCTCGACGCGCTTCTGACGCTCCTGCTCGAGATCCTGCAGGCGACCCTCGGTCTCCTTGAAGGCTTCGAGCAAATCGAGTCGCTTATTCTGCGCTTCGATGTTCTTAATGAAGTTAATCTCCTTCAGCTTTTTGTCCTCGTCGTGCGCCTTCTCAATGATCTGGCGCAAATAAAGCTCACGGTTTTCGGCAGCACGCTGCAGACGGCCCTCCATCTTCTGGCGCTTGTCCTCGATGAGCTGCTTCTTGGCCGCCTTGACGTCCTCGACACGCACAAATAGCTGCTGCAGCTTGGCGGCCTTCTCCTGCTGCAACAGCGCCCGCTTCTGCTGGGCCCGTGCCTGCTTTGCCTGGTACTTCTTGAGGGTCTCCTGCAGCGAGCGACGGCGCGAGGGCGAGGATAGCTTCTGGTGCAGCTCCTGTGCGCGGCCAGGATGACGCGCCACATAGGCCTGCAGCGTGGCCAATGCCTCGGCGCGTTCGTTCCAGGACATGTCCGACAGCAGCGCCTGGTAGCGCAGCTCCAGGCTGGCGTTTTCATCATCGCTCATCGTAACAAAGACGACGGCATCGTCGAGCGCCTGATCCGTATTGTCGTCTTGCTCCTCCAGCTGCACCTCACCATCCGTTTCATCCGTTTCGGTGTCCACATCGATCTCTGTGCTCTCCAGCTCGCGTATTTGACGCTCCAGCGACTCCTGCACCTCGACCAGAATGCGTTCGTTGCGCTCCTCCTCCACATCCTCGGCGGTCTGCTCCTCGATCTCATCGCAGGCACTTAGCATGTTGGCGCTGGACTTGGCACAGCCGTTGGGCAGCTTGCTCCGAGCAATACTCTCGTACAGCTCACCAATGGTCTTGGAGAACTCACAGTTCGTCTGGATTTTGATGTCGATCTTGTTGTGGTCATCGTTGTTGGCTGTCGGTAAGAGAAAAGATAATTAGATTTTTACATTATTTACGAATATATACATATCATTCATTATGTTTATACTGATTGATTGATTGGCTGCCAGATTGATTGATTCATAATAATCTTACAGAAACAATAAATATGAAATTATTCCTCCTGACTGATCGAGAAGACAGCCTGATTGATTGAATGACTGATTGATAAGCTGTTCAATTTATATAATATACGAGAATGTAGGTATCCCCTTTATATGTACATGTATATCCATATAAATATAGCTATTTGATTGACGGACTGACTGACCACCCGATTGCCTGACTGATTGATGATCTATGTAATTGTTATAGCATACGAAACGATATATAGATTAATTTCTCCATATATATAAAACTGTACATGTTGATTATTTACAGAGTGATTGATGATCTATAATATATTTTTATAGTAGACAAGATATGAAACCGTTTCATCTTTCTGATTGACAAGACTTATAGATGGATTGACTGGCTTATGTAGATCATCAATATTTTTAATAAACGAAATAAAAAATATAAAAATTATGAGTTTGCTTATCCATATATTTAAAATTGTCCTGACTGATTGACAGACTGAACACCAGATTGATTGACTGACTGATTGATGAACTAATTTAACTGTGTATATGAATCTGTTTGTCTTGACTGTTTGACCGATTGACTGACTGACTACCTGATTGATGATCTATGGAATTTTTATACATATATAGAACATTTTGTCCCGACTGCTCGATTGACTATCTGATTGACAAGCACCAGCTGATTGATTAACTGACTAACGCTGTCTTATACTCTGCCTTTTGTGTAGAAATCACAACTACTGCCGACACAACTATGTTTACGCTTTCTCCCTCGCGCTGTAAACTCAAGGCGTATTTTCTTACACTCATTGTCAGTCGCTGTGGAGTTGCTGCTGCTGCTCTGATCCTTTTGCTCCTTTTGCTGTTTGCGCAGCGCATTCTTCTCGCTGCGCATGTACTCCTTGTGCAGGGAGGTCATCTTGAGGCCCGTGAGATCCGATTTCTGTCGCTTGATGATGGAGGTGCGTGCATTTGGCGAGGGTGCGACAATATTATGGCTGCAATGGCTGTTGCTACGCGCTAAGCCAATGGAGGGCTTCGGCTTATCCTTATCCTTGTCTTTACTCTTTTCCTGTTCCTTGTCCTTTTCCTTGGCCTGCTCCTTCTCTTTGTCTTGCTTTTTCACATTGGCTGCTGTGCGCTGTGCTGGAAACGAGTTCACCTTGGCCTTGGCATTCTTGATTTCTGGCCTGGACGCCGGCGGCGCCATCATTTTGGCCGCCTTGTTGCCAGCCTTGGGTTTGATATCAGTTGCGGGCATTTTGCCGGTTAAACTGGGTTTGCCGCTGGCCTGGCACCTGTTGGCAGCTGCAGCTGCGGCTGCCGCCCTCTCACGCTGCTGCTTGTCCTTTTCCTCCTTCTGCTCGTTGAGCAGCGCCAGGGTAGGCAGACTGGCATAGCCCGTGGGCTGATTAAAACGATTCGCCCAGTGCATGCTGGTGCGACGACGATTCTTGACCGTCAGCCAGCCATCGTTGGCATCCGGCAGCAGCTGCTTGGGCTCCGAATGGCGCTCGTCCAGCTTGAGGGTGCTGCGTGAGCTGCTCAGCTGTTCGTTGCTGGCCTTCAGCGTGGACGTCGAGCTGGCTATGTCCTCGCGTGAGCTCAGGCGAATGCTGGGCGCGCTGACACGCTTACCGACAACCGGCGTGGTGCTTGTGCTCAGCAGCGTGCTACCGGTTCGTCTGGCCAGCGGCTTGGGCAACACTGCTGCCACGGCGCCGGCGGCCACCGCATTGCCATTCATGTCTAGCATGGTCCGTGATCTGGCGGACAGCCGTGTGGCCACATTGTTAGGCGGGCCATAGCACTCCGTTTTGCTGCTGGGACGCGGCGGTGGAACACGTGCGCTGCGTGCCGCAAAAGGCTTCAAGTTGTTGTTGCTGTTGTTGTTGTTGAGCCGCCGCAAGCCGTTTGGTGGAACCGCTGTCTTGGCCAAGGCTGGCTTGCTGTTGACCAATTTGGTACTGCTGGCAGCTGCTGCGCCCGTTTGTCCATTTGCCTTTTGACTGCCGCCACGCGCCGCCGCCGGTCGATTGAGCACACTCGAGTACTTCAGCGGACTATTCTGCATGGTGCCGCCCAGTGGCTGCGATAGGTTCTTCTTCTCTGCCGGCGGCATGGTCACCGGTTTAAGCAGCGTGCTGGGCGGCGTGGGCGTCTTGTTGGCCTGCGCTGTTAACAATGCGTTCTCCATGGCATCCAAGCGGGCGACGGTCAACTCCAGAGCTGTGGGCTCAATGACAGCAACAGCTGTTTGATTCGGTGCCTGCTGCTCCACGAGATGTGGCTCTGGCTGAGATTCTGCTTGTGTTTCCTTTGGCTCAATTGTGCTGGGCAGCTGCACTGGCTCCATTTCTTCCTTTGGCTGAGCAGTGTTTGAATCTAAAAAATAATATTCATGAGCTCTTTCTGCATGAAATATATATGTACATAATAATTATAATGGAAAGGTAGTCGGAGTTAGTTGTTGGGCCTTGCTCCAAGCAGAGGCAACAGGCACCTTTACTTCGCTTAGTCCCTTTTGGAGGTGGTCCACGGACTCTCACTTAAGATGACCATGGATTTGTACATTACTGGGATACCTACCAGGTGCCTTCTTGGCAGCCTCCTCCTTTTCATTCGACTCTTTTACAGCTGCCTCCTTTACAGTCGCCTCTCTTTCAGCTGCCTCCCTTTCAGTCGCTTCTCTGTCAGCTAGCACCCTTGCAGCTGCCTCTCTTTCGGCCGCCTCTCGTTCAGCTGCTTCTCTTTCGGCCGCCTCCCTTTCGGCTGCTTCGCGTTGCATCTTCTCACGCACATCGGCGAGCGTCAGATGCGGATCTTCGAGATCTGTCTGTGAATATTGATTGTTTAGCTGCACATATGGCTTGTCCACAGGCAGCTCCAATGGCGCTGCTGGCGTCGGCTCCAGTGCATCGGAATTGGGTGAGCCATGCGCATTGCGCTTATTGGCCGCGAATAGTTCACGGACATTGACACGCATGGCGCCCCGTGGCAGCTGGTCGTAGGCGCGCAGCAGCTTCTTGGGCGTCACATGACCATCGCAGCAGGGCGATGTCTTGCCGGAATTGCAGGGAAATAGCGCTGGACTGGATTTACCGGAAGTTGTGGGGCTGCACAGGCTTTTGGTACGCACACGGGGCGTAGGATTGCTTTTGCGCACCTCCCAGGCGAGGCTCTGCGGACGCTGCTGCAGCGGCCGTGAGTCATAGTCCCAGCTGACCTTAAACCATTCGCTGAGCGCCTTGAAGTCACGCACATAATTCTCCAGCACGAGTATGGCCTCCTGGCAGCTGGATATGTTCTCATAGCACTCGACTGTCTGATAAATCTCGTTGACAGCTCGCTGCAAATTGCCAAAGAGCAGCGCCCAGTAGCGTGCCTGCAGCTCCGACTTCTTGTCCCGTCCCGTTGAGGCGCTGCGCACACGCGGTCCAGTGGAGCCAGCGCCCACGCCGCCATTGCCCGGCTTTGCTTGGCGCATCGTCGTCGGCGATTGGCAGTGTTTGGGCGTTTGCAGCCCGTTCGGCGATTTTGGCGGCGCCACTGGCGGCTTACGGCATGTGGGCGCTGAATAACCTAAAATAAATAAATTCAAGTTACAAAAGCCACAAGAACGGTCTAGTCGAGAGCTCACGACTAGGAGTTACCCTGTACACATATCTATAATCTGTGCATGTTACATGAGATTCATAATCTTCGAGATATGTTTGAAAACTGCGGCTGAAATCGATATTTATCGATTTATCCGTGCAACAAAGGACAGTTAGCGATACTGTGAAATTAACTTGATTAGCGGCATGTTTGCAGGACTTTTTATTGCAAGTTCAACTCAAGCCATTATCTCTGAAATGCCTTTATAAGGGCAACAGGACAGACGGACGGACGCAGACAGGAAGGACACGGGACATTGAATATATCTATACTTGACGGGTTGGCTGGCTGCACTATTATGCACTTTTTCGATTGGGCACAGGGTATCAGAAGTAACACAAAACTTTCAACTTACTATCGCCATTGACAACAACGCCACCGTCTCTGGCCGCGCTGCTGCCAGCGCCAGCGCCAGCGCCGCCGTTTGCGGTTGTCTCATCGCAAAACTGGTAGACTAGCAAATTCTTTGCTTCGCGCCCCTCACGACTCAGCACCTCTCGCATTTCCATCGCCTTTTTATTTTGTGGTGTCTTGCTTTTTTGTATGTTTGCTGTTGCTGCCTCTGCCGCTGCCTACGCCAACGCCTACGCCAGTCCCAGACGCAGCTGTTCGCGCACCTTTACGTTTGTAAGTCTTTCAACAGTTCAATTTGATTAAGATTCACAGCTGCTGTTGCTCCATACACAAAACTATGACTATTTGTTTTAAATTTTAACTGATTACTATGTAATTCGTTGCACTCTTGTGTTTTTTTTATTGTCTTTTAACGGCTGCTGGTTGGATTGTTGTTGTTGTTTCTGTTTCTGTTGTTGTTGTTGTTGCTGCTGCTGCCGTTGTGTCTGCTGCTGTTGCTGAGAATTTCGCAATGACAGATTGTAACATTTTTGCGCAATACACACGCTTCTACGTTTGTTTAGACACGCGCAGGCTACTTTGCTTGAATTGTTTTCAAAACGTATTTAGCTACAGCTGTTTTAATGACTCTTACGCAGGTGTCTTTATTATAAACTAAAAATAATTTTAAAACGCAGCACGAACGTAAAACTGCATGCCAGACCAAATCAGCTGTGCGCCTTCTGTTTATCGAACAGTGTGTGCACACTGCACGTCAAAAACATATCGATAGAATTTCGACAAGCGATGTATCGCGCTATGAAAGTATTGAAGTGCACGCTTTATTAGCTGGCCTACTCTTGAAACCACGTTGAGTCTGTGTACTGTTGTATATACTATTAGATGGTCAGACGCTAACAATGATTAGACATAGCTAAATTAAAACTATCGCAAGTTGTTAATATCGTTAAGAAATATAAACGATGTATCGATAAGTAAATATATCATGTTGCCTGCATTTTTGTGTGCTACTAAATTTAATGTTTTTATGCCAAATTCTACGTACTGCCATTTAAAATATGAAATCCTTCCTTTTTAATGGCTTATTAAAAATATGTTGGTAACTATCGCAACGGTTACCAATGCTTATTGCTACGATATTTGATTGACATCACTAAATCGCATTCCGTCACAAACAGTGTGTGTGCAAAGAAGAAGACAGGCACGCACGGATAGCGGAGTTTTTGTTTTTGCATTCTTACCATAAAAAAAATATTGTCGATTTTAACTTATTTAATTAGCAATTAAAAACAATTGCTCTAAACAAATTCCGTCTAAAGTGCAACGAAAATACGTAGTAAATATTCAAAAGAAAAAAGATTGGCTGCCACGGCTGTCTGGGCTGCGCAACTGGACAGCAACAATTAATGAAATGAAAGTGGAAATCGTGTGATGTCATGTCGACGACGACGGCAGCGACGTCGACCGTTCTGTGAATTGAAACTTCCTGTTCTCGCTCTCTCCCTCTCCCTCTGTCTTGTGCCGCCGTATGAGAGATCCTTTTGAAGGCAGCCAAAAGTGCGTCAAGTGACGGTGAATTAAATTTGGCAATAAAAAAAAAAAATACGAAAAAATTCCAATTTTCATTCCACCGCTCAGCTGCAAATGTGCCAGTGAATAGCAGCACAAAAGAGAAAAGGTGAAACGAGCCAAACACACACACACACGCACGCACACACACACACACAGCCGATTGCGTGTAGGTGTGAGTTGGTTTTCTGGAACGGGCAACGGGCAGCCACAACGGACAAAGCACTCAAAAACAACAACAAAAGAAATAAAATAAAACAAGTTTTTTATTGATTTCCCTCCAAAAAAAGAAATAAGTAAAAACAAAAATAATTGACGACAATTCCGCCCAAGCAACAGGAGCAGCTGCATTTGCCACGCCTACACACAGACTGTGGTACCGTCCTAAAGCTACGCGCACACACACACACACACACACACACACACACACACACACACACACACACACACACACACACACACACACACACACACACACACACACACACACACACACACACACACATTCCCTCCCTATCCCCCTTTCCTCCTGCACACCCAAACATCATGTCCAGCCCCAGCGCCAACGATGGCGCCCAAACAGTTCTGGATCTGCGCATGGAAGTGGAGCGTCTGACACGCGAACTTGATCAGGTGTCCAGCGCCAGCGCCCAATCTGCTCAATATGGCCTCTCGCTGCTGGAGGAGAAGTCAGCGCTGGAGCAGAAGTGCGAGGAGCTGGAAACCCTCTACGACAACACACGGCACGAGCTGGACATTACGCAGGAGGTGAGTACGAAAAAAATAAAACACACAGCTCAACAGCTGTGTGTGTGTGTGTGTGTGTGTGTGTGTGTGAGTTAGCCGTTTCCAAGCCAATTGCCGCTTATCTAGAAAACACACACACACACACTGGCATATGCATGCCTACGCACACACACACACATACAGCCGCTGTTAGACCAAAAGTTTTGCAATTGGTTTTCAATTTGTCTTGTTGGCAAAAAACAGTAAGCACTCGTTAAAGCGTACGATAAGATAAGCAAACAATTGTTTGAGCAAATTAACTATCGAAATATGTTTTCTGCTAACTTAACTAAGTCCTATTTTGAGCAAGATGCATTTCTAAAACAGCTTTTGTTAAATATCTCTGCGTTTAACCAGAGTTATGCCCAGCTTTTCCAGTCACCATATGGAATGTGCACCATGTATTTGCTAAAAGCACGTTCTCTCTAACCATCTGGCTCTCTTGTTCTCTTTGAATCCGGCGAGTGTGACTGTCCGGCTCTAATAATCACGAATGATTTAATCGTTAGTCTGGTCACATGTAGATTCTTTCGTTCTATAAGCTGGGCTTGCGGTACTTGGCGTCGCCTCAGTGCACGCCCCCGCTCAGCAATTACTCTCTCCCTCTCTCTCCCTCTCTCTCTCTCTCTCTCTCTCTCTCTCACTATGGGTTTGCAACTTCACTCTCTCCCTCTCTCTCTCTCTTGCTCTGCCTGTCTGTCTGATCACGGTCAATTTGGCTTGCGCTTTATCATCGCCATTCTGTTCAGCTGCCTTTGTTGTTGTTGTTTTTATTACAACCTGGCCAATACGCCTTTTTTTCTTGCCATTCCATTTTGCACCTATGTTCGCCAACTGCCCGACTGGCAATTAGACACGGCAATTGTTTTGGCATTTCCGCTGGAATTTCAACGTGCATTGCGGAAAAGCCCAACAACAAAGTTTGTCCTTCGCCCAATGCCTACAAAGGGGGGGTTGGCTAATATAAATAACTTTTGCCTGTCGGCTCATTATCATTTCGTTGCTTTTCACCCTTTATTTATGTACTTTTTTATAGTTGTTGCCCATGGCGTTAATTACTCGACTCGTTGCCAAAACAAAGAATCGATTCCAAGAGAAATGGCAAAACAAGAGAAAAGCTGTTCGTTTTGTTACTAAGTGGAACTAGTTCGGAATGGGAACTGGTTTATTTAAACAGAAACATTCTTAATAAATTTCAGAATGGTTATTAGGGTATATGGAAATTTTATATGAAGTATTAAAAGAGAATTATGCACTGCAAAATATTTTACTATGCTTGATTCATTTTTGGATTTTTGTTTTTAACAGAGAGTCGAATATTTTAGTAAATAATGTCTTCTATGTCTTGTTTAGTAATAGAACCAGTTCGTCATTAGGCAATTGGTTTGATAAACTTATATATAATATGCATAACCTTATAAACTATATTATAAACTTATATATATATATAATATAAACTTATTTTGCACAATTCTTTTTCTGAACATCTTTCTATTTCAATATTCTTTATATTGAATTAAATGAGTCTATTGAATTGAAAATCTATTAAACTGTTTTTCTTTTATCATTAGTAGAAGTCTTATTTCCGAAACAGTTCTCCTATTTAACTAAAAATCTTGCCAATATGTTTTCGTGCTTCTTATAATATTCTCAGTTACTCTTATCTGAAACATATTTCTATTCTCTTTCATTTGCAATATTCCTTGCCAGCTTTAAAAACAATTTGCTTCCTCATAGTACACTCATAGTATTTATAATTTTAATCAGATAAGTTATATCTGTTATATTTCAGATTGTTTTTTTTTTTCAATTTCACGCTTCTGCAGTTTTCCAACTCAATTCCATTCTAGAATCAGTTTATAAGGCCCCGAAAACAGTTGATTAATTGGCCGACAGGTGGCGCCCACCTGCCCATTAGGCCGCTCGCTTGATAGTTTTCCAGCTTGTTAGCTTTGAACTCAACTGAACTTTTACGAGAGCCGCCGCGAGCAACACACCCTCCACACACACACACAAACACGCGCACACACACACACACACACACACACACACACACACGCACATACACACTCCCACGCACACACACACACTCATTTACCCTCGCATTAGTGCATGCTTAAAATTAAAAAAAAAAAATGAGAGAGAAAAATTATTTGCGACGACGACAAACACTGCGGGCATTTTGTCTCCGCTGCCCGCCGGCCCCTTGCAACTTTTGCGGGTTGAAGCGCCGGCTGCTGGGCGACATATTTCCACTTGTAATCAAGATCTCAGGCCGTGGGCAAGACATAAATCAGAGAGCGCGGGGAAAGAGACGGATGTCAAGAGTTTTTCGTTGCAGCAGGTGGCGAAGGGGTCATGAAATTAGCCCGGCCGAAATTAATAGAATATTTTTGCATATAAAGCCCGGCGGCACAAATTTTCTCGCCGAATAGACTTTAATGCCCGGGCATTTCGATTACACGGCCAACTGTGTCCTCCGGCGCAGGACAGGATAACCGGAAAATTGGCAGAATGCAAACTGCAGTCGATACAAACAAATATTTAGACAGAGCTGAGCACGCGGGGCAGCCAGTGTCAACTGCATTTGGCCAATTATTTAGTTGGCTTTGTTGCGCCTGAGTGTGTGTGTGTGTGTGTGAGGGAGGGGGGAGGGTTGGTTCAGGGGCGTAACGAGGCGTGTTGCAGTACACATGTCGTTTGGACGTTTGCAACTGCGGCAATTAAGAGGCCCCCAAAACAGCAGTCATAAAACCGAAGCCAGTTCAGAGAGTGTGTGTGTCTGTGTGTGTGTGTGTGTTTTGACCATATTTTATGACTAGCCTGACGGCAGCCAAGGACATTTCGCCTGGGGAGCTCGCCGAGTCGGGAGTCCTGTTGCCTGCGCATAGTTTTGCGGCTTGTGAGTTGTTAACTTGGCTTAGGATAAAGGCAAAAGTTTTTAATACAGACTTTAATAATTAATGCCATTATTTACACGAACTCAGAAGGGGGCAAGGGCTTTGGAATAACTATGCAAATTGAGGAATTTGTAAGTGAGGCAAATAAATTAGCTAAAGAGAACGTGACAAAATTGTATCCATTCAACCAGGCTGTAGAATGGCTTTGTATTGAACCGGTTCGAGCCCGCAATTCCAATTTCTTACTATGAGTCAAACCTTTAACAAAACCAATTGCCGAACTGTTATCATAATCATATCTTTTTCCTAGTTGGTTCGCTTAAAAGTAAAACATTTCAGACTAGTTTTAAATATTATCACAATTAGAAACATATTCACGCGCAAAGCACTCAGCCAATTTGTGTAGAGCTGTGAAAAAATGAACTGAACCCGTTTGAAGCACAAATACGCAGTTGGCAAACGCCGAAGCCAAAAGCCGCTTAAAACAAATCCTTGCCAGACACTTGCAATTGCAATAACAGCGCGAGCAGCATCAAAGCGACAAACACGCGGACAAAGGACACTTGCAATGGGAGGAAGGGCAGCAGCAGCAGCATGGCAAAAAAAAAATAAAATCCCGACGAAGAAATTATAATGATTTGACGCTGATGCTCTGTTCTGTTGGCGCAAATTGCAATTCCACGGCAATCAAATCCGGCAGCAGCAACAACAAGGACGACAGACAATTGGGGCATGTTGCGGGGTTAAGGGCGGGCTGGCAAGGGTTAACTGCAGCGCTTGAGCACTGACAAAACATGTTTCCGACTCGGTTGCAGTCGCAGTTGTCATTTGTTGCTGTTGCCTGCAAGGGAAATGAGCAGGAAAAATGTTGCCAGCACCCAATGACAAACCCTCCGCCACCGCCACCGCCCCCGCCCCAGCCGCTCTCAGCCCAGTTCTGGGCGTGCTATGAAAATGTAAAAGCAGCTGGTGGCGCGCTTGGGCACAATGATGAACAAAACTCGCAGTTGGAGAAGTCACAAATACCCTGTACCCATTAATTATTGGTCTATAAAAGGAATATTGAACTTGTAGAAATATATGCTTATAGATGGGGAAACATATTCGACGAGCTTAATTAATTTCAAGACCTTCATCAGCTTTACGTTTATCATAATTATCGATAACTACTGTCATTCCACTCCAAAATCGATAACTATCGACTTCTAATAATATCTCAAAGATTATAGATTATAGAAGATACCTAGAGACTTCAAGGTGGGCACATACATTCTCCTGTCATGGTAACTATTTACATTTTCCACTTTCCCGAAAATCGATAAATATCGATAAACAGACTCGATTCAAAGAATATTATTGAAGCTTTAAGAGCTGGAGACTGCAAATTTCGTATTTAGGCTCGCATAAGTAATTGCAGGGTATGTTGCAGTCGTGCACTCTCAACTAATGTACTCTTAGTTGACTTTATTTTTGGACGCCAGCCTTGGCCGCATAATGGCTATGCAATTTATTTGCACCCAACTTATTTGGAAACTGATTGGCTTCCGTCTAGGCTCATAGACACTTTTTATGACCCCAACCCGCGTCACCTCCATCTGCTCGCCCAAATCTCGAGCATCTTTGGAGTGTTGCCAATTTGGGTGCCACAAACATTGCCCCGGTTATGCAAATGTCTGTGAGTGTGTACATCCAGAGAGTTGGACACATGATTGCGACTTTGCTGATTGGCTGTTAAGTGCAAATGATTTTTACTGCTTCTCTTGTTGTTGATGATGATGATGATGATGCAGCAGTTGGTCTCTGTGTGTGTGCGGCGTGGCATGCAACGACAGTTTGCAGCACAGTAATCCTTGCTGCGCGTCAACATACACAACATTTATTGTCCCGCAGCTGAAAAGGATTTGCATGCATTCCGCTGCATTCTCACAATTCGCATATCCATTTACTTAAGAGCACAATTTAAGCATATTCGCACATCCTCATACCAAAGGGCATTACGGCTATGGCAAATCTTTAACTGTGACTTTCTATAATCCCCTTTCGGTCTCTCAAGCATTAAGGTTAAGATTCGAACTCGTATTA